CTCCTTCGTATTGATTGTTTTTAATAAGACATTTCATTTTAATTTTGATATGAAAAATTCCGACCTTACATCGTAACGACGACGTCAATCAAGACAATTACTCGTCTCATTGCAACAGTGGAATTCATTCATTCATTCAGCATTCCCACTCCCGCTCACAATATCAGCAAAATCATGACAAAGTCATAGAAAACCATCAGAACATTTCCATGTATAGAAGAATCAGAGAACAGAAAGAAATAGCAAGTCATAAATATAATTTTATTTCAAATGTTCAGAACCAGAACCAGACAGTTAATGAAGAGAAGTTCCTTTTCTTTTTTTTTCCCCAACTAAAAGATGCGTTTAAAAATTGATAACGGTTTCTGTGGCCTTCTCTCAATAAAAAAAAAAATCACCTCTTTGACTTTTGTTTGTTTTTGTAAAGTGTTTTACGGCGCTCGCAACTGCATAAGGTTATATGAGCGCGCGGGACACACCTAATATTTTCAGTTGGTAGGAAAATTTTGAATTTTGCCCGGGTGGCGGCCGAAGCCTACTCTTATCGATTTTAGACCACCAAGGGATTTTGGCTACAACAGCACCTGGACATGGATGGTTGGTGCCTCTATAAATAAATCATTGATGGTCTGGTCTGACCACCAAGGGATCTTTAACGTGCGCAACTTGCACACGGGCCCTCCGAGATTTTTCGCCCTTGTCCTATAAGGCTAGGTGTAGATCTTTCCTACCAGAACTCTTTGACTTTGAAAAAAAAATTGCATGCGAAAAAATGTAAACTTAAAAAAAAATATTTTTTAAATTAGCACCTCCAGAGGAGTCGAGGTTTTGAACTTTGAAGACCACAGAGCTGCAAGAAAATCCGAATAGCACTATATATCAGTAACCTTTAGCCTTGACCCAACCCTAAGCCTGTAACCTGAAAATAAGCCACTGCTGAGGTCTGTCAGACTGCCACTGACTGAGTAGGCTAGGGTTAACTAATTACATGATTACAGGAACCACTGAGTAGGCTAGGGTTAACTAATTACATGATTACAGGAACCTCCGAGTTGGCACCCAGTAGGTATTGCATTGCTTTCTCCTCTAGGCAGGGCGCTCTCAGAAAAAGGAATACATGCATGTATATATATCAAATAATAAAAATTGCAGTTTTAGTAGAGGTTTTACGGCACTCGCAACTGCATAAGGTCATATGAGCACCAGAAGATTAGAGTAGGTGTTACAAGAGAGTAAGAAACATAAAAAAGAAGAAGGGGAGATAAGGACGATAGATGTTTGACAGGAAGAGAAGAAGAAGCAAACCACACCAGAGCACCCACAACCACCCACAAATCAAAACAGAGATTTTTTTCTTTAAAAAAAAAGAAAGAACAGGTAAGTTTAAGCAAGACATAACGTGAACCTCCGAAAAGTGATCGCCGGACACCCACCACAATAGAAAGTGGACACCCACCACAATAGAAAGTGGCAGTTCATTTGTAAAAAAAACCCATAAGAAAACCTCCCCCCCAAAACCCCCGTAAGTACAGTGAGACGATAAAAAAACCAACTTGAAGTTACTCAACTTGCAATCATGGTTCAATTTTGCATGTTGTTTAAATTAACCATCTCAATTTAAAAAAAAAAAAATTAAATTAAAAAGAAAAAAGAAAAAAAAAACTATGAAAAAACAAACAAAAACAAAACCACATCAAACTAGTCCAATAGAGCTTTAGTTTTAGTAGGAGTTTTACGGCACTCGCAATTGCATAAGGTCATATGAGCGCCAGAAGAGCAACAACTGAAAAGCGGCTTCAGTTTAAGCACACGTCTGTTCATCACATGCGAGGAAAGATGAGCCAGAGTTGTCTTTTACTTTTAGTTTTAAATAAGAGTTTTACGGCACTTGCAACACAGTAAGGTCATATAAGTGCCGAAGATTAGAGGTGTTACAAGAGAGTAACAAACACAAAAAAGAAGGAGGAGAGATAAGGACGATAGACGTTGGATAGGAAAGAAGAAGCAAACCACACCAGAGCACCCTCCAACCATCCTCCACAAAGGTATCTTTTCAAATAATCATTCACATCATTCGCCATTGTTATCAAGTCACCAAAATTAAATCCCCCCCCCCCCCCCCCCCCCCCAACCACTGCCACAGAAATGCATTATCTTTCTTTCTTCTCGACATTATTTACAATAGCTGTCCACCGTGTGTTGAACAAATGAGTGGCCAGAAGAAGAATACTATTGTATATATAACGGGAGCAGAACAGGAAAAAAAGAACAAACAAAATCAGACACGATATTTTCTCCCCATCTTCTCATTTATTAACTTGTCATTGAGATATAAAAGATAATACTAGCGGTCGTCAATGGCCAGATATCACGTTGCAGTTGTACCAGTACTTTCACACACAGGCCAGGAAAGCTCACGCAAGGTTTTCATTAGCACGCATCTGCTCAGTCGGACACATTTGATTTACCTTGATAATAGTGCACGTCGCTTGTTTGTTTGTTTGTTTTAGTCAAAGTTTTACGGCGCTCCCAACTGCATAAGGTCATATGAGCTCCTGCTTGTTTGTTTGAATCAAGAGAAGCACATCCATACATACAAAGACGGTCATCTGGTGAGTGGAACAAGCAAGACACACAGAGTTTATTTTGTTTGAGTAAAGAGAAGCACATCAGCACAATAAAGGTCCTTTAGTGCTGGGGAAAAGTAAGGGAGGCAGACAGACAGACAGAAACAACAGAGGGAAAATAAAGAAGTAAGACCTACACCAGTGGCACACCCTGCAACCACCCACAAAACAAACAGAAAGACAAAACAAAACAAAACAAAAAAAGGGAAAGTGAAGGCTGCAAATCTACAAGCGGCACCCTCAACTCAACCACTTTGCTACAACAGTCGACATTTCCCCTGTCTGTCACTTCAGCTTCCATCTTCACAAATCACGACAACACAGGCCCACACACCACCGGTTAACCCTCCCACACACACAAATCAACCGAACTGCTGGCCAGCCTAAACTGACGTATGCTGACAAAACAAAACGCCTTTTAAAAAAAAAATTCACAGGTGTTTCGATAAAAAAAAGCATTTTTTTATCAGCATATCCATTCAAGGAAAGATGTTCTTCCTAAATTTGAATTCTAATTTATTCCAAAACTAGTAAGAGTTTCTTTAATTTTTTTCCCCACAAGTAGGGTTACTGATCAGGCGATCCACTAACAAATTTTTAAAAATTGTTGCCCAAAACGAAAAAAGGCGCCTTTTAATTAAAAAAAAAATATTCCACCGACACTGTCCCAGACACCCCCCTGTCTACGACAACCACTTTTCTCCCCACAAGACGATTATCTTGGCCGACTCCGACTGTAGACCAGTGACCCATAAATAGAAACGTAGTCTCATTTTCCTTCCTAGAGAGCAGAGCGTGTCAAACTCAAACTCAGGGCCAACAGTCGTGATTCATTTTTTACTTTTATAGCTCAACAGAATCTGAGCGCCGGCTGCTCTGGGAGTTGAACCAACGAGGAGCCATCCTTGCTGTGTCAAAGAATGTGAACAGGAAAAGGGTTAATTAAGAAGCCGACGACCAGCACTTTGCCTGGCTTCGAACTAGCACCTCCGCAGTTCGCAGATATTTTACATCAAAAGCAATATCAACCCAATATAGGTCATTTCAGCCAGCACTTCTGGTGGGAGTAGGTAAAAATCTGGGCAACCTATCTTTCTCAACCAGAACAGTTGTGAAGCGGGCTAGGCTAACGAAGTGAGTTACTTCTCGGATTCTAGCCTTATAAAAATAGATACATTGAGCTTTCAGGTGACGTTCTTACAATTTATAAGTATTAAACAATAAAAGGCATGTTATGCTTAAAGAAAATGGTATCAATAGAAAATCTACATATTTGACCCTAGTGTCGATTTTACTAATTTTAGGCCAATATCTCCATATGTGAATTGCGAGAAGTAACTCATTTTGTCAGCATGCCTCACAGTTACACTCAACAGCAGAAACAAAAACAAAAACACCAACAGCCAAAAAAAAAAAATAATTAAAAGGCACAAGAAAATCTAGGTCAAATGACATATATATGAGACCAGCTGTGACATAGACATCAAACATTCAGTCACTCTTGTATGGCTTTTACATAGATATAGATATATAGATACACATAGAAACAACATCAGAACACCAGCAGCTGATAAACAACTTTTTTCCCTAGGTGGATATACAGATATATATTTATATATATATAGTGGTGAAAAATCAATACTGCTAGACACACCATAAAAGTGGAAACTTCCTTCCTCTAAAAAAAAAACACAAACACAAACACAAACAAACAAAAAAAAGAAAATGATGCGATCCTCTCATAACCCATGTAATTCTCGTTATCAACCACTCTCATAACCCATAGAATTCTCGTTATCAACCACTCTCATAACCCATAGAATTCTCGTTATCAACCACTCTCATAACCCATAGAGTTCTCGTTATCAACCACGTTTTTCTTCCCTCCATCAGGCACAGATAGGAAAATCCAACGTGGGAGAAAAAAACCGAAGGATTTAACCAAAAAAAAAAGAATTATGCTGCCACCACTTCTTGTGGCTGTGACACTCTGTGACAATCACGTCCCCCGCATCAAACTCAAACACGCCCCAGACAATCACGTCCCCCGCATCAAACTCAAACGCGTCCCAGACAAACACGCCCCAGACAAACACGCCCCAGACAAACATGCTACACCCCCTCTCACCGGTACCACACCCACTTGTGTTTTAGTTTTCGAAAAACAGTTTTACGGCACTCACAACACAATAAGGTCATATAAGTGCCGAAGATTAGAGGTGTTACAAGAGAGTAACAAACACAAAAAAAGAAGGAGGAGAGATAAAGACGATAATTACTTAATAGGAAAAAAGGAGAAAACCACACCAGAACACCCGCCAACCACGCACAAAAAGGCTATAAAAAAAAAGTGACACTTACAAAAGACACACACATGCGCACACAGACTCACACTCAAGCATAATACAAACACACACACACACACTGGTAGAAACACAAACATACACGCGTCAGAAAGAGTGTCAAAACCTCTGCGAGTACGACACACACACACATGTGAAAGAACAGTCACAGCGCCGTGTCCCTGGTTAGAACGGCCGGTAGGTAGACGGGTACCGCACACACATGGTCTTCTCCAGGTACTCCTGGCAGTGAGTCCAGCCCAGCTTCTTGCACAGCTGAAAAGACAAACGGTCAAATTATAATTATAATAATAACAATAATAAAAATAATGATACAATAATAATAAAATAATAATATAATAATAATAATGACAATAATAATAATATAATATAAAAATAATTTAAAAATATTAATTTAAAAAAAAGAAGAAATAAGAATAAGAATAATAATTAATAATCATAAAAAGAAGAATAAATAATAATAACAATTATAAAAACAATAAGAAGAAGAAGAAACAAAATAAAATTAATAATAATAATAATAATAATTTTTTTAAAAAATTTTAGAAGTAATAATTATTATAATAATAATTTAACAAAAATGAGTAATAATAAATAATAAAATAAAAATAATAAAAATAAAAATAATAATAATAATAGCAGTCCACTCCGCTTTTGCTGATCTTCCGTTAAATTGATGTTATTCTGGGGTCCCAGCACCTCTTCTTCTTCTTTACAGGTTCCAACGGTTAACTTAACCTTCCGATGATTTGATTTTTTTCCTTCTCACTCCCCCGACAACATCAACTCATCCCGTGTCAACTATAAATAGAATTTGTACAGAACATAGCCTCACTCGATAGCAAGCTCTACGCATTCTTCTTACAATCTATATATAGACTCTAGAGCAAGCTGCGGATTTCACACGCTCAAACACTAACAAACTGTCAAGATCTGTCACCGTCTATAGCCGGGTACCAATTCCCACCAGGATGAAGTGAGGATAAATCTTGTAAAGTGCCTTTCCCAAGGACACAACGTCGGGCCCCTGACGGGACTCAAACCCATAACCTTACACTAGCAAGTTCGACAGCCTACAATGAGAGAGCAATTTATTTTTTGTTTGTTTGAATCAACCGCTCCTTTCGCTGCCTTACGACATTCCAGGCACATCAAGAAAATGTGTAAACTTTTGCTTTGTGCTGTACCACGGCGTCGCCCAAGTTGGCAAAATTTGCCGCTCCTTTTTTGCATACTTATATAAAGATATATATATATATATTATGAAGTTATGTGTACGTCACGCTAATCACCTGGCTCTAATTTTTCTGGACAGAGATTTAGCCACATGCACAGCCTGGATTCGTATTCGGGAATAGAAAGTGCGCATATCAGTGTCAAATTTGAGAGTGTTACTTAACTGCTTGGCTTGCAAACGACTGACAAACACAGGTTTAGTCTTGCAGACCACTGATAGACACAGGTTTAGTCTTGCAGACCACTGACAGACACAGGTTTAGTCTTGCAGACCACTGACAGACACAGGTTTAGTCTTGCAGACCACTGACAGACACAGGTTTAGTCTTGCAGACCACTGACAGACACAGGTTTAGTCTTGCAGACCACTGACAGACACAGGTTTAGTCTTGCAGACCACTGACAGACACAGGTTTAGTCTTGCAGACCACTGACAAACACAGGTTTAGTCTTGCAGACCACTGACAGACACAGGTTTAGTCTTGCAGACCACTGACAGACACAGGTTTAGTCTTGCAGACCACTGACAGACACAGGTTTAGTCTTGCAGACCACTGACAGACACAGGTTTAGTCTTGCAGACCACTGACAGACACAGGTTTAGTCTTGCAGACCACTGACAGACACAGGTTTAGTCTTGCAGACCACTGACAGACACAGGTTTAGTCTTGCAGACCACTGACAGACACAGGTTTAGTCTTGCAGACCACTGACAGACACAGGTTTAGTCTTGCAGACCACTGACAAACACAGGTTTAGTCTTGCAGACCACTGAGTGCTCCCACAAAGCAAAAACACTAAAATTACTTTAAAAGGCAAAAAAATTCACTTTTTGGCGAAGACTTCTCATTTCGAGTCATTGAGAGGCTAATGGCTTGATATAGGCAGTTTTCAGTCTCTTCTAGTCGTAGAGTTAATTATTCATAAAATTGACTCGATTTTCGTAATTTTCATAGTATATTTGTATTTTTGTAATGGGGTCAAATTTCTGGCATATTTTTGTCGTAATATTACGAAAAATTCGTAAGTGCAGGCAGGTCTAGATAAAAAACACAAGAAGTCAACTTTTCCGAAAAAAAACCCAGACACTCACATCTACGATGGTCAACTCCAAGTCTTTGCTGCGTTTCTCGTCTTGCTGCTTCATGACGATCTTGAGGGCTCGCCCGTACTGCTTCAGGACCACCGCGTGTCTCCAGGCGAACGGGAACGCCAGCTGGTACACAGGGGGGGGGGGAAATCAACAAATGAGTACGCATGGGACAAAGTAAAAGTCTCCAGGGAAAAAAAAAGTTTGTAAAAAATCAACAAACGAGTACGCATGAGAGTAATTGTTTGTTTGTTTTAGTAGAGGTTTTACGGTGCTCGCAACTGCATAAGGTCATATGAGCGCAAGAAGATTAGAGGTGTTACAAGAGAGTAACAAACATAAAAAAGAAGGAGGGGAGATAAGGACGATAGATGTTTGATAGGAAAGAAGAAACAAACCACACCAGAGCACCCGCCAACCACCCACACATGAGAGTAATGAAACAAAGCAAGTCTCTAGGCTAACCGGAATGCCGGCAGACAGGGGGGGATAAAATCAACAAATGAGTAAACACAAAACAAGGTAAGTCTCCAGATTAACGGAATTGCCAACTGGTACAAAGGAAAAAATTTTTTTTTAATCAACAAATGAGTAAGCACAAGACAAAACCCAGGCAAAACAAAACAATCAACAAATGAGGTAAACACGAGACAAAGGAAGTCTCCAGGCTAACCGGAATGCCGGCTGGCCGGTACACAGGGGAAAAAAAAAGAATCAACAAACGAGGAGGCACAGTAGACAAAGTTCATCATTCAAAGACAGTTTTATTGACAGTTTTAGTGACAGTTTTAGTGACAGTTTTACAGTAATGTTTGTTTTCTTCCTTGTTTTTTTTGTTTACATAGAAATTCTTATCTTCTTATTCATTTTTTTGCTCATTCATTCGGTCATAGTCCATTCATTCATTCCTTCATGAATCTCACTGGTTTGTCCAAAACTATCCTCCCCCCCCCCCCCCTGCCCTTCTTCCCTCCCTCTCTCTCTGTCCTCCCCCCCTCTCTGTCCTCTCCCTCTCTGTCCACCCTTCCCTCCCTTCTCGTCCCCCCCCCCCACCCCCAACAACACCCCCACCCCACCCCCCAACGACACCCACCCCAAAACCACCACCGACACGTCCCCCCCCCACACACACCCACCTTGCTGTCTGCCAGATCCAGCCATTTGCTGAGCTCCCCGAACGTCTTGTTGACGTCAGCGACCGTGACCTCCGTGCTGCCCTCCGCGACCCCCGAGCCATTGGCCGCGGTCAGAACATCTGCCTGGGCCACCCCCAGCTTGACCAGCGCCTCCAGCAGCCAGGACTTCTTCTTCTCCATATCACTGACGGATGAATGGTGATAGTAATAATAATAATAACAATAATAATGATAACAATAATAATGATAATAACAATAATAATAATGATAACAATAATAATAATAATAATAATAATAGTGATAATAATAACAATAATAATAATGATAACAATAATAATAATAACAATAATAATAATGATAACAATAATAATGATAATAATGATAATAACAATAATATAATATTTATAATAATGATAATCATTATAATAAAAATAATAATGTTATGATAATGATAATAATAATAATAATAATAATAATAATAATAATAATAAAAATATTGATTATAATAATTTAACTATCATAATCATAATTATTTTTATTATAAGAACGAGAGGTGAACACTGTAACCTCTAGACCACGAGAGCCCCCTATCTGAACACGGAGGAGCTCTTCTATACACAGAGAGTGACTACACAAGTGAATGTTGTAGGTGAACAACGGGAAGAGGTAAAATATTTATAAAAACACCCGGGGGAGGGGGGAGGGGGGAGGGGGGAGGGGGGGGGCGGGCAGGCGCGCGAATAATGCTGAAGAATGCACAAAGATATTAGAGGTGTAACTAGAGAGTAACATACCCCCCCCAAAAAAAAAAAAAAAGAGATAATGATGACTGATAGTTGACAGGAAAGAAGAAGGCCCTATGTGCAGACGTCCTCGCCATCTGACATTCAAGTAAACAAGCCGGCATCAGTGCACGGCTTATAAAAGAGGATCTAGATAGATCGAACAACTACTGCTGCCAGTGGAAACTAAAAGCAAATTGTACCAAGACAATCTACACCGTCTTTACAAAAAGTCACAAAGTCGCAAAGCAAAATCTCACCATCTTACTTGGCAGGAAACAAAACTACAAAAAGTTGTAAACCCGACCTACCTCGGGATCGAGCTGGACAGAAAGTTTTCATACAAAAACCATCTATCTGGAACACGAAGACTAAGACCAACAAGAAACTTAACCTTCTCGGACGACTGGCTAGCACCTCATAGGGGAGCGGACAAGGATGCACTCAGACAGCTATATGTGAGGCAGCGTGGTGGAATCAGGCTCTCGTCAAAATAATGAAATTGAAAGAAACAGCAGTTTTCTCCCTGCTTAGCAATTTTTACCAAATTTTTGTTTTTTGGCTCAACACCTTTTATGTCCATTTACAAACAAATTCCTTTGAGGATTTCACTGAAAAACGATTAAAAGAACAAAAATATAAATGTACAGTTTCCACGGACTCTCCAGCTTTGGAATTTACCAAGTTTTGGCGGCCATTTTCTCGCTAATTTTACCTCTTGAACCAGGTGACCCCCACCTCCTTCAATCCATAATATCTCCACTTCTATTGAAGATGGATGGGTTATTTTTTCATAGAAAGCAAGACAAATAAACAAGCTTTAAGATGATACCAATAACTCAATATTCCCCAAAATTGACGAGAGCCTGATTCCAGCACGCTGCCTCACATATATATGTTAGCTATATACGCTCTCCTACCTTTTTATGGTAGCGGCGTCGGGGCGGACATCGGCCTTCATGCTGAAGTAGGACAGCAAGGCCTCCACGTCTATCAGGCCGATGGCTTCTTGCGCTGTACTGATGATCTCGCTGTTAATCTTCTCTTTTTCCTTCAGACACAAGACACAAAAACAGACGGACATAAAATTTGACCTGCCTGGACATATACCCTGAATTAAAAAACCAAAACAAAACCCCCAAAAGAAAGAAAAAAAAAGAAAGAATAATGAAACGAAAAAGAGAAAAAAAAGAAAGAAAAATGAAAAGAAAAAGAGAAAGGAAAAGAAAAAGGATAAGAAAAAGAAAAAGAGAAAAAAAAGAAAGACAGTACCAGTTCAAACTCAGCCATACGCGCTCATACGACCTTATGCAGTTGCGAGCGCCGTAAAACCTCATACTAAACAAACAAACTCAGCCAGGTTATATAAATATAGGAGATGGGACCACACCATTTTTCTATCAGCTAAACTATAAACTCACCATCTCCTTATCTGCTAAACTAGAAAAACTCACCATTTCCTTATCTAGCAAACTACAAAACTCACCATTTCCTTATCTAGTAAACTACAAAACTCACCATTTCCTTATCTAGTAAACTACAAAACTCACCATTTCCTTATCTAGTAAACTACAAAACTCACCATTTCCTTATCAGCTAAACTACAAAACTCACCATTTCCTTATCAGCTAAACTACAAAACTCACCATTTCCTTATCTAGTAAACTAGAAAACTCACAAATTTCCGTATCAAGTAAACTACAAACTCACCATTTCTTTATCTGCTAAACTACAAAACTCACCATTTCCTTATCAGCCTCCAAGGCAGTCAGTCTTGCTAGCAACAATGGCACGTGTTTGGGGAAATCTTTCTTCAGCTCTTCATACAACGTCTGCGTGGCGGAAATTGGGGGTCTGAAGATAAATAAAGAAAGAAAAAAAAAGACACAAAATAAAAACACCCGCCACCAGGGGTCTACAGACAAAGAGGAAGAAAAGAAAAAAAAAAGACATAAATTAAAACCAATCACACTGGTGGAGATACAGAATCAATCATTAGTTAAGTAACTTCTGACATTGAAAGGCGTTCTATGAGTTTGTGGAATCTACCAGTGAATTATTGGACACACTCTCAGGAAGTCAAGCAGCTGCATAACAAGAAAAGTGTTAGATTGGAACCCACAGGGTAACAGATCAAGGGGAAGACCTCGTGGAACCTGGAGAAGAGTCACGAAAATGGATGTACAGAAAAGTGGGAAGACGTGGAGTGACATCAAGCGACTAGCCCAGGATAGGGAAAGGTGGAGAGTGTTTGTTCATGGCCTATATCCTGACCCAGGGTGAGAAAGGCAATGATGACGACCAGTGAATTGAAAGAAAGATGTTTGGAGGGGGGGGGGAAATATTTTCAAACACAAAACAATCACGTTTGTTCGGTATTATGTTCTAGTCAGCATTTTAGGGCACTTTCAACACAATTAGGTCATATCAGTACCGAAGAGTAGAGCTGTTACAAGCGAGTAATGTAAACAGCAAAAACTAGTGGAGAAGAGATAGAAAGACGACGGTTGATCGAGAGGAAAGAAGGAGCAAACCACACCACATCACCCAAAATCCCAAATCATTGTGCCGTTCATTATTATTATTATTATTATTATTATTATTGTTATTGTTATTGTTTTGCCATAAATAAGATGACAAAAAGCCTTTTTTTCTTTCTGGCATCCAAATTTTTAATCTGCTAAATTGAAAGCCTTACTTGCGTGAAAAAAAAATCAAAGTGAAACTGTGACTAGTTTTAAAAAAAATAAATTAGAGTTCAAATTTCAGAAAAACACTATTTTTAAATGTTTACACTGACAAAAAATTGCTGTGAGTAAAAAAGGACCACATCATCCATTAACCACCCACCAGTCCTGTCTGTGCTCACTGACATCTTACAATATTCACAAGTCTCCAAACAAAATGGGACACAAATCTTATACTGCATTGCCCCTGGCCCCATCAGTATTTAAGCAAACAAGCTAAACGCATCTTCATTTTTTTGTGAACCGGTAAATCGAACCAACCACAGAGAAGAGTGTTTACGTTTAACACTGACGATGATGATGATGATAATAATAGTAATAATAATAATAATAATAACAACAATACTGCCGTAAGCTGACAAATCCCCTTTTTTACTCACAGCAATTTTTTGTCAGGGTAACCATTTAAAAATAGTGTTCTTCTGAAATTTGAACTCTAATTTATAAAAAAAACCCCAACTAGTCACAGTTTCACTTTGATTTTTTTATCACGCAAGTAAGGCTTTCAATTTAGCAGATTAAAAATTTTGGAGCCAAAAAGAAAAAAAAGGCTTTTTGTCAGCTTATTTATGGCAAAACAATAATAATAACAATAAAAATAATAATAA